CCAACGGGGCCAAACTCCATTTCTTAACTTCCACATCTACGAAGGTCATCTCTGCCCTGAACACGACATGACCGCTATTAAGATGGTCTTGCCATTTTATCATCACTAAGCGTCGAAGTCAACGTTGTTGTGCACTGTTCTACCGCTTTCTTGCTATTTCGTTAGAATAACTGTCTCCAGCCGTACAATCACACTAATTTGACACAGGAAAGGTACAAGTAGGTTTTCGTGGAAACAGTAACTCATTTTCCAGCCGAAACATTGAAAGAGGTTTCCAAAAGCACTCGAGACTATGGCGACCCTCTAATTTAACTCTGGCCGTATAGTGCCATTGTTGGAGAAGATAGAACCAAAAAACTAAAACTGAGTCAACCACCTGAAGGGGTGTACCACTCTGTTTCATTTGTAGATCTGCTGTGTCAGATGGATTCCTCATAACTTTTGACTTCCGGGCGCTAAGGAAGAGGTCAGCTATGCAGCTGTGTTGCATTAGAAAGCTGTGGTAAGAGAGCCCGCTCCATGTACTACTCACCAGGGCAATAACATTTGCATATTCTTGGTCAGTAAAATATCTAGTTCGATAACTTGAACTGCACCTCCCTTCAACAGGCGCAGATTTTCTGGAGGATAATGCCAAATCTGATAACAGCCGTCTAAAACAAATCTAATCTGCTTGCAATCAAGAACATTGCCTCTGCTGATGCATAAACGTTGTCTTACTGTAATCTGAAACACCTCTTCTAACAGTCACATGTCACAAATCAAAGCTGTGCTGTTTAAGCACCGCTAAGGATAGACAACGATGAAAGCAACACAGTTATCATCATTTGCCATCAAAGATACTATCATCTGTGGAGATCCGCACAGGTAACACATCGTCGAAAGGACTGCGGGTTACGGTCTGCACTAATCATCGATAAAAGGTGTGGAAACCACCTTACCATATCGTAATCGTCGAAAAATATCGATTCAATGATAAAGGATTAAAGGAAGAAATCTGATGGCTAAAAAACAAAACGTTCAAGTCAAAAGAGCGGCAACAATGTCCATCATTCCATTGCTTTTTCAACCGTTTGCATAAGGCGATGATTGAAAATTTTGTTCATGCGTTGGTCGTCACACTGAAAACAGCATGAAACAAGATTTATTTCTGCACAACGCAAACAAGTACCAACGTTGAGGTCGTCTCACGCTTTTTATTCCAGATAGAATGGTGAGTGAACTTCGGCAATGCTTCACGTTGTCGGCACCAGTCCATAGCTCAGATTCAGAAGGCCAACGTACGAACTGCTACGGACAACAGGAAGGACTTCCGAAGCTTACCTACCTACTTAGAACAAGGAGTCTGAGACATGGGCCAAAACATCGGTACTGGTCAGTCATCTAAGTGATGATATTATCTGAGCTGTATATAAATAAACGTGCTTTGTGCTGTTTTCAAGGTACCTGTTGATAAATTCTTGGCATTAAACTGAAGGGAATATCAAAACGATGATACATGCATGACGTGACATGAATTCTTGAATCATGCTAACACGCCGACAAGACGACATTTACTGTAGTGCAATTCCTCTCTCTGAAATTTCCTTAACTTCATTTATGATGACTTAGCGAGAAGCGCATGACAACTGATCATCCAGAAGCGGCGAGCTTACCGTGCATCGGTACTTCACACAGTCAGCCCAGAACTGACTGGCCGAAAACTTGTGCCTAATGACGCAGGTACTGCCACAAAGAAACGTCTGGCCAATACCCACAACGCCGGCAGCTGTGTGATACATCGGCATAGTGATGTACAACCGATCCTGTTCAGTGATGCCGTACGCACGATGACAGCCGTACGCCATCATGAAGTACCTTCGATGGAACGTGATCAGTGTACAGCTGATATACAACATATGGTAACCGAAACACATACCTCGCATGCGTAATCTTGGCAGCTTTAGGCATTCCGGTGGTTCCTGAGGTGAATATGTAAAAAAGTGTGCCTAAACTAGTAATGTGATAAGTAAGAACCTCAAAAATGAAGTATCTACTTGAAAAATCCATACTAACTGGCGGGGGCTTTTCGCGAGATGCGCTCTTTAGCGCTTCCATCAAATTTACGTGTGGCAGTTCATTAGGGCCTTTGCCGTACACGTAAATTTTCATGGGGCTTTGGATACGGCCGCTGGAAAATACGTCACAGAAGGCTACAAAAAACAAAATAATTAAAAGGTAGAAGTTTTAGCTTCGCTTGGGTATTATGATTAGCAGGTTTACGAGTTCTGCAAAATATTATACAAACAACAGATATATTCCAAATATGTGACAAATGTAACAATGATATGAATTTTAAATTTGGCGTCAAAATGCTGACTTGCCAGCACCAGCACAGAGATATGAGCTGCTTTGTTGCAGTCATCGCCATTTAAGACTAACAAAGTTTGAATAGCATGGCAGTCCAATC